CTTTTTCTTATGAATGCCCTGCCTTAGCTTGGCTTATTTCTAACCAGCTTTTTAAAAATTATCCCATCTCAGCCGGGCGGTGGTGGCGCACGCCTTTAATCCCAGCACTCGGGAGGCAGAGCCAGGTGGATCTCTGTGAGTTCGAGGCCAGCCTGGACTACCAAGTGAGTTCCAGGAAAGGCGCAAAGCTACACAGAGAAACCCTGTCTCGAAAAAAAAAAAAAAAAAAAAAAACAAAAAAAAAAATTATCCCATCTCCCTTTTGCCTTTAGGCCTTTATCTTTCTCTATTCTGTATCCCTTTCTTTACTACTTACTCTGTGGTTTGCTGTGTACTGGGTTGCTGACCCTTGGTGTCCTCTCCTTTTCTTGCTGCTCCTCTTTTTTCCTCCCAGATTTCTCCTTCTGTTTCTTCTGCCTGCCAGCCCCGCCTATCCTTTCTCCTGCCTCGCTGTTGGCCGTTCAGCTCTTTATTAGGCCAATCAGGTGTTTTAGACAGCTTCACAGAGTTAAACAAATGCAACCAAAAAGAATGCAACACATCTTTGCATCATTAAAACAAATGTTCCACAGCATAAACAAATGTAACACATCTTAAAATAATATTCCACAACACAATTTCTGTCAAACTAAGGAGTTTGATTTTTCCCCCCTGTGGGCAGGGCAGCCTCTGATGGCTTTTAATAATATGTTCAAAATTCTCTTGCTACTAGAAGGTTGTTTAAAGAGAAGCCACAGGTAGATCAGGTCAGCTGGGGAACTACGTCAGGGATTTCAGATTAAAATAATATTCATACTAGAGAAAGAAAACAGGTTAAAAGGTTTGAGGGCATGAAATGAGAATGGCAATGAATGGGGAACTGTTTCAACCCTGGCATAACTCTGAAGCTTCTAGCACTAGATATGTTTCTGAAGTTAGAATCTAGCACAGAGTGGGAAGGGGTTCATGAGCCTCCTCCCCTAACTGAGGAACTATTGACAGCTGCTGGCTTCAGGAGGAGAAAGAATGAGTTTTCTTTAAAGATGTGACTCCGGGTAGATTGTCCATGTTCCAGTGGATGGCTCCACACCCATATACTCTGTTATAAGAACAGTGCATGATAATCCACTATGTTTATTTCTGTAGCAGAATGTGAGTAGACACCCAAGTGGGATGGAGAATATAAATAGCCCCACATTAGATTAGATTAGAAGCTACCAAATGGAGTGCTCTTTTCTTATCAAATGAGTTTAGAAAAGTGTTTTTCTGTGTGTTTTGGATTGGAAATGGCAATGGAGGGATTGCACATGTGTGTGGTATCCACATTGAAGACACTTTGGAGGTTTCATGCACTTGTGTATGTTAAAGTTTGTAGCTTGCCAGTGAGTGCATGGAGCTGATCCCTTCCTTGTGTTGTCCTTTGCTGGTTTCACTGGTGTGGATGGTAATGGGGAGGTGGACTATCATGATCTGAAAGCATCAAGGAAGATTATCTTGGTGTTTATTTTGTTGTATAGCTGGTACTATTCTCAATGTGTTGTGGGTTATCTCATCCAGTTCTTAAAGCAACTTGCTGAGGTATTCCATGATGGTTTCCATCTTAGAGGTGAGAAAATTGAGTCTTAGAGATGCGGAAGAACACAGAAGCATTGCTTCTTGGTTGTCTGACTTTATATATATATATCTGCTGTGTCCTTCTTAAGATGCCTGAAATGACTGAGAGTAGTGTTCCCGGGAGGAGCTTGTCCACCCAGCCAAGGCCTGAACTGGATCATACCTCCAGACATGGCAACTGCTGTAGAGTGCATTACTCGTGGTCAGTGTGTGTTCACACACTACTGACATCCAGACATAGCTGACTATCCTGCCTGGAGAATTTGTGGGAAAATGACACAGGGCATCTTGATGAGTCTTGGTGGAGAGGCAGATAGGGCTTCAGTGGGGATTGATTGCGTTCTTCCTGGCAAAACAAGCTAGTGCTGTTGAAGAGTTCCTGGGGAAGGGCTGGGATAGGGCAGGAAGGAACCAAGAGCCAGAGAGAGCTCTTCCCAAGAAGCCATCCAGCCACTCTGAATGTTTGTAGACTTGCTAACAATCCTGCTACAGACAATCCAGGCTTGCTTTGGTCTGTATGCTAGTAGGTACATTATACCTAGTTCAGCTTCTAGAGAAAATGAAAAGTCATTTGAAGGTATAAAGTCACTTGAAGGTGATTTCTTGAGGTTTTGCCACCAGCCTGAAAACTTACAGGTAGGTCTGAAAGTGTCTCATTGACAATTCAAGGACAGTCCACTCTCCTGTTCCAGAAGACAGCACTTAATGAAGTTTAATCTCTTTGTCTTTCTCCCACCTTTTGTATCAAAGACCTTTTCCTGCTTAGTCACTTAGTTAGAAGGCAGGAAGATGGCGGTACCCTGAAATCCTGGCCTTTGGAATACAGGGAAAGTTTCAACACTGACCACATTTTGAAGGGGAGTGAAGGAGAACCCGACAATTGGTACATTTCTCACCTCTCCCAAGAAGCGATTGTAATGAAGTAGGGATATAATGTCACAGCTGAGTGGAAATGACCTAAGGTTTCTATGAATACTGGCATTCTGGAACCGTGGGGGTGGTTGGTTTCTAGACGGAAGACAAACGGTGGGGGCAGACAGGGACTTGGGAGGACAGGACCCAGATCACAGGGCTATAGAGAGTAGATCTGAGACCCAAGATTTTTAGCTAGGGTAGAGAACAGAGATGTAGTGCAGAGGAGGGTCAGTGATACTGTGTTGTTTTGTGTGTGTGTGTGTGTCCCCTTCCTCTAGGACTCCTCAGCCTGAAAAACCCTCTAGCCAAATGAGCGTCCTCACCCGAAGAGGCTTCTAGTTCTTGTCTCCTCACGCCTTACAAGTTCATCTGTTTTTAATGTTACGCCCCATTCAGCCTATGCAGTTATGGTATTTTCTGTTCTGAACTACTTGAAGGCATCTGTCATGGACCTTTGCCTCTAAATATTTCACTATGCACTCCCTAAGAACTGGGGTGTTCTCTTACATTCTTCAGTAGATACCACTAGTTATATTTACTTCAGCCTACTGTCAATATCAATTTTACTTTGTATAGTCAGTGTCTTAAATTTTTTTTACTTACTTTTGTATTTTATGTGTATGAGTATTTTGCCTACTTGTACGTATGCATTCATGGTACCTTCAGAGGTTACAAGAAGGTATCAAATCCCCTGGAACTGGAGTTGTAGATGGTTGTGAGCCACCTTGTGAGTGCTGGGATCTGAACCCTGGTCCTCTACAAAAGCAACAAATGCTCTTAACCACTGAGCAATCTCCAGCCCCATAGAGGTTTTTTTTTTTTTTGTAAGAAGAGTTTTATTGACGTATAATTGACACACAGTAAACTACATGCCTTTAAAAGGTACAGTTTGTTTTGATCTCTCTCTCTCTCTTTCTATCTATCTACCTATCTATTTATCTTCGTAAAACTATCACTATAATCAATATGATAATCAAGACAGCAAACATCCACTCCCTCCAGAGTTTACTGATGTCCTCCAGCCACCAATGGAGAACTTAGGTTCCTCAGCTGTCGCTAAGAGACTTGGGAGTTGTCATTTTGGTTTTGTACCAGTCTCATGAGTAACATTTAATTTGCATTTTGCTTATACTTGAATTTAAACATTTTCTGCTATGTGTAAGGATATCTTAAGTGTGTGTGTATTTCTTATGAGCTACCCTTATTGGCTCATTTTCTGTAGAATTTTGTACCTCTTTTTCCTCTGTTATTTGAAATTCTTCCCCTAGCGTGGTATTGTGTATCTGTGATTGATGCTGCAAAAAAGTGTTCAGTTTGTTCTTTTCCTTGTGCTGTCTCTATCCATGTGAAAGTCTTTCAAGTAAGGAAAAGCATCGGTTTTCTTTTGTTACACCGAGAGTCTGAGTCAGGGTTAGAAGGCCTTTCTTGGCACCCGTGTTTTCTCCTACACTTTAGGCTTTTTGTTTTTTCTTTGTTTGATTTGTTTTTAATTTGTTTGAATTTCTGGAGAACTTGGAAATTATCCATATATAGATGTAATTTTACATCTATATTTTTTCAAATTCCTGTATAATAGTTAATAATCTTGTTCTATTCCATTGGATAGTCTGCTTATTTATAACACAGTCTAATTGCAGACCTTTACTAGTTATTATTTTGATATCTCATTGAACAAGTCCCTCTTCTATTTTCAGGTTGTTGTTATTTGTTACCACAATGAAAGAAAATGTGTTACTTGTTTTTTCACGTTTGGCTTTTGATCAACAGGATTACTTTGAGTACTATTGACAGGATTGTGTTCTTTCTGGCTGAGTAATGCTCCATTGTATATCTATACCACATTTTGTGTATCTGTTAATCTGTCACCGACATTAAGGCCAAGTCCATAACTTGGATGTTGTGGGGTAGTGCCTCCATAAGCATGAGTGTTGTAGGCAGCCTGACTTTACTTCTAACATCATTGTATTAAACAGAATAACCAGACCCAGAAAGACAAACATTTTCTCTCATGTGTTTCCTTACTAAGTTAGGTATGATATTTGATTTTTTAAAATCAGTAATTTTAGGGCAGCTTGACTTGAGGAGTGGGAGTTAAATGGTCTTACCTCTCCTTCCTTCTGAACTAGACTCTGGCTCAAAGCCAGGCAATGAGATCTGTCTGGTAGGGACCAGGAGCTGGAGTTTTCCTTTTTTCTTTTTCTTTTTTTGCAGTTCTGTTCCACTAGCGTCAGTCTCTGCCTCCTTGTCAAACTGACATTGTTTTTCTGAGGGCTCAGGAGCTCGTTTTGAAGTGGTAGAGCATGTGGTCCTAATCCTGCAGTCATCCTCCTTGCTTCCCTCTTTCCTCACTTTCTCAACTCATGCCCAGCCTCTCCCCTGTGCCCAGCCTCTCCCCTGTGCCCAGCCTCTCCCCCGTGCCCAGCCTCTCCCCTGTAGCACGTGGAATTATACATACTTGAGGTAACAGTTGGTTTTCTCTCTCCTCTCTCTAGGTACCTGGCGTCTTCCCAGTCTCAGCCCAGAAGAATAAACCCTTAGACTTGGGGAAGTGAGCCAGGCAAGCCAAAGGCAGCCTTGAGCCCTCCCCTTGCCTGCCCTCCCCTGTGGGGGCCAGGATGCTGAAGAAGCAGTCTGCAGGGCTTGTGCTTTGGGGTGCTATCATCTTTGTGGGCTGGAATGCCCTGTTGCTCCTCTTCTTCTGGACACGCCCAGCACCTGGCAGGCCACCCTCAGACAGTGCTCTTGATGATGACCCTGCCGGCCTCACCCGAGAGGTGATCCGCCTGGCTGAGGACGCCGAGGTGGAGTTGGAGCGGCAGCGGGGACTGTTGCAGCAAATCGGGGAGCATTATGCTTTATTGAGCCAGAGGTGGAAAGTGCCCACTGTGGCCCCTCCAGCCTGGCCCCACATGCCTGTGACCCCCTCACCAGCCGTGATCCCTATCCTGGTCATTGCCTGTGACCGCAGCACTGTCCGGCGCTGCTTGGATAAGTTGTTGCACTATCGACCCTCAGCTGAGCATTTCCCCATCATTGTCAGCCAGGACTGTGGGCACGAGGAGACAGCACAGGTCATCGCTTCCTACGGCAGTGCAATCACACACATCCGGCAGCCAGACCTGAGTAACATCGCTGTGCAGCCAGATCACCGCAAGTTCCAGGGTTACTACAAGATCGCCAGGCACTACCGCTGGGCTCTGGGCCAGATCTTCAACAAGTTCAGGTTCCCAGCAGTTGTGGTAGTGGAGGATGATCTGGAGGTGGCACCAGACTTCTTTGAGTACTTCCAGGCCACCTACCCACTGCTGAGAACAGACCCCTCCCTTTGGTGTGTGTCTGCTTGGAATGACAACGGCAAGGAGCAGATGGTGGACTCAAGCAAACCAGAGCTGCTCTATCGAACAGACTTTTTTCCTGGCCTTGGCTGGCTACTGTTGGCTGAGCTGTGGGCAGAGCTGGAGCCCAAGTGGCCCAAGGCATTCTGGGACGACTGGATGCGCAGACCTGAGCAGCGAAAGGGGCGGGCCTGTATTCGTCCAGAAATTTCAAGAACGATGACCTTCGGCCGCAAGGGTGTGAGCCACGGGCAGTTCTTTGACCAGCATCTTAAGTTCATCAAGCTGAACCAGCAGTTTGTGTCCTTCACCCAGTTGGACTTGTCATACCTGCAGCGGGAGGCCTATGACCGGGATTTCCTTGCCCGTGTCTATGGTGCCCCCCAGCTACAGGTGGAGAAAGTGAGGACCAATGACCGGAAGGAACTGGGGGAGGTTCGGGTACAGTACACGACTAGAGACAGCTTCAAGGCCTTCGCTAAGGCCCTGGGTGTCATGGATGACCTCAAGTCTGGTGTCCCCAGGGCTGGCTACCGGGGCATTGTCACTTTCCAGTTCCGGGGCCGGCGTGTCCACCTGGCCCCTCCACAGACCTGGGATGGCTATGATCCTAGCTGGAATTAGCAGCATCTGCCTTTCCCTGCTGGGTCTCCTTGCCATATCATGAGTTGAGACAGGCGTGCAGTCCCTGGGCTATACCATCCTGTCAGTGGTTCCCTCTTGGGTCTGTAGATCTTCCTTTTTTCCGTCCCCCCACCCCCAGTGGCATTCTAGTGCACAAATCATAAGATGAGGGTTATACTCCCGTTGTCAAGGGAGTCATATATCAGGAGAACTATTGTGTGGTGTATTTGGGGGTATTGAACAAGAAACCACTGTGTGGTATGGGGAGGCTTGGGCTTGTTGGGGCCAGGGTGTCCTGAGTTCTCTCGAAGGGCATCTGCAGAGAGCTTGGCAACTCCAGCTCTCTTGACCAGGCCTGTCAGCCCTGAGCTGGCTCCTGTCAGTGTGAGCCCACCTTATGTACCTACCCTTTCTCCACCTTCTCCCAGTGTGGGGCTGGGCTATGGAAGAAGGAATGGGTTTGTGGCCAAATGAGACTAACCAAAGGGGTTTCACTGTCAGGGTCAGATTGGAGTTGTTGGGGTGCCGGGGTCACTGCCTCCTGGCTTCTCAGTCCTCTTTTCCTGCAGCATAGCAGTCTGTGCTTGGGAGATGGGAGTGGAAAGGGAAAGCAGGCCTTCTCCTGGGTTAGAGCCAGCTGTCAAGAAAGGTGTCCGGAGGAAAGCCTGTACTTGGGCACCCTGCTTCTTGCCCACGGCCCCCTCTTTTCTGAAAGTCAGTTCCCTCCGTGTTGTTTGGGAGGATAAAGTGCCAGCCCGGTGGAAGACAGTGGACTGACTTCTGTGCCTCTTTTCTCCTGAGGTTTGGGGTAGAGGCTGCTCCCTGAGTGGTGGCTCTTGGTGGCCGTCTCAGAGCTAAATACACCAGTAGCTGAGACCAGGACATCTCTGACCCCAAGCTAGCTCCTGTCCGGCCTTCCTAAGCATTCCCCCATCTTTCCCGGCCAAGATGCAGGTAGCAGGTTGGAGAGAAGTTTGTGTGTTTTTGTTTGTTGCCTGATCTTAGTTTCATGGAAGAAAAATGGAATCTACAGAATTATTTTCAAAAATAAAGTAAAGGCTGAATTGTCTGAAAAATATGTGTCTGTGTCCTAGGAAAGGAGGTAAAAAGTGGGGTTGGGGGACAAAGGGAGTAAAGTCTACAGGAAAGAGCTAGACTTGAGGGAAAGAAAATGAGAAAAATAGGATGGGTGGGACCAGGGGTAAGGCAAGGGAGAGTCAAGGATGGAGCCAGATAGGGGAGCAAGGCTAGCTTGTGGGGAGGCCCCAGGCTGCAGAGCTGCTGTTCATCTTCAAGTTGGCCATGGGCTCCTTGGTTAACAAGTGGGTCTGGACTGGTCTGCAAAATACCTTGGTGTCTAAACCCTTGTAGGAGCTGTCTTGTGCTGTTTTGCTCACTCAGACAGCATCTACTGGGCACCTCAGCAAGCTGCCCATGAATCCAGGGTTTGCAGTGGATATAGGGCAGGCTGTGCATTGGCACTTAAGACTCCTGATTGTGACCTCAGTGAGAAGACATATACTGACAGAGCACATCTGTCCCACCCTCAGCGTTTGCTGAAATTTCACCCATATCACAAGCAGCACCCTCTGAGAAGTTTTATTCCCCACTAACTAATTTGTATGTGTGTTTATACGTGTGTGTGTGTGTGTGTGTGTGTGTGTGTGTATGTGTGTGTGTATGCATGCTCATGTGTGTGCAGGTACACATGTGTGCCTTTTTATGGAGTCCAAAGGTCAACCTCATGTCATTCCTCAGAATACTGTCCATGTTACTTTTTGAGACAGAGTCTCCCAGTGGCAGAGAACTTCCCCATTAGGCGAGGCTGTCTGGCCAATGAGCCCAGGGATCCACCAGTCCACCTCCCCAGTGCTGCCATAATTGGCCTTTTTACATGGGTTCTGGGAGTTGAACTTAGATCCTCTTGCTTGCGCAGCAAGTAATTTATTAGCTACCCCCCCCCCCCAGCCCAATTTTTTTTTTTCAAAGTGATTCTTGAGAACCCTGGGTCTGACTGTATGACAATCAAATTTGGATCTGGCCACTAGTGGTAGAGATCACTGGCAGAAGTGGGGGTTAGTGACTCTGCTTTGCGGCTCAGGAGTGCAGACTAAAACAGTGGAATCCGTTTCACTCATCTTAAACATTGACGTTGTGGCCTTGGCTGTGTCTTCCCTTGATGCTCTCAGATGGATTGTTTAATGCTAATTTTTGATTTTGAAAGGAGATAGTCCATTGTTTGCAGCTACAGACACAGGGGCTGGAGGAGGAGACACATCATATCCCTGACCATTGAGTGGGGAGTAGTTTGTCTGGACTTCATGTTCTCAGCATACTTAATGAATGTATTTAGCAGTCCCTGGCCAAATGCTTTGTTTGGAGCTCTGCCGGAGTTGTGTTGTTGCTGTTAAACCAGTGGAGGAGCAGGCACAATAGGGGTGAACTTGATCAGGGGTGCTTGGGGCAGACCCGGGATCTGAATGGAATGTATGCTGTAAACAACGGAGATAGAGGATGTTCCGTTCCATCCTTTAGTGCCGTCTTCAATACCCCTCCCCAGCCTCATTTGGCCCCAAAGCAGCAGGTGGTACTAGACTTCCGGAATGAACAGCCAGTGGTCTCCTACCCTGGATGGTGGGTGTGTTAGACTGAGTCCAGGAAATACAAAACAGAGGGGATGTCTTAAGGCCTGCTAAAGCTGTACAGACACTTAAAAATAGCCTGGCTTCTCGGGTTTTCCTTGAAAAGAGTCAGCTTGCTGCTCGTCAAAGCACCCTTGAGGTTCATGTGTGCATCGTTGACTAGGAACCCTGATGCTCTTGTGGAGGACCAGTGGGTGTACTGGCTGGAAAGGCCCGTGGTGGTAAATGCTGTCGAGTCCTGTTACCTTTCAGTTTAGAGATTCCACCAGCTGGAAAACCCCATGGTGGTAAATACTGTAGAGTCCTGTTACCTTTCGGTTTAGAGATTCCACAGTCATTCCGGGGTCGCCTCTGCCCTGGTGCCTTCCTACTGGGGGTTCTGCTTTTGTCTCTAAGCACTCCTTGGTCCACCCACTGCCATCCTCCTCATGCCCCTTCACTCGTGACTCTGATGGCTTCAGGACAGCCATCTTTGTCTTCCATATGGCCTCGCCCTCTTATCTAGGTCACATTGACATCTCGTTTGTGGAGTGAGTCACCCAGTGTAGACAGATGTATTGGATTTAGTCTCTGTGGCAAGGCTTCTGAGTCTTTAGTAGACTGCCCCATCTCTTCCCCATCTGATCCCTGCCGGGTGGGTTGCCAGGAGAGCTGAACCTCTTAGGGAAGGTGGGAGTTAGAGGGTAATTACAGCACTTGATTGAAAATCTTACTTTAAGAATGTCTTTTCTCTGTCATTACGTATTTATTTTAGGATGTCAAAACAGATTGCAATAATATCCATGCCTCTTTACCAGATTTATATTGTGGTGCAGGATCCTACCAGACTTCTTTCTCACGCAAATAGAGCATTTATTTATCAACAAATTCATAAAGTTCTGCAAATACTTAGCTTATATAAGTTTACATAACTAATAAGTTTATGTAACATAATATTACCCTCATTCTTAAGAAATATGGGTCTCAGGCTTCCAGGTGGGAATTTCAGAGCAGCAAGTGGTTTGCTACTCCAGGAGCCCTTGGGCCCTGTTTTCTACACACTTGACTAGCCTGGACAAATCACAGGGAGTTTATGTTTGGAAGCAGAGGTTAGAGGCCCTTTCAGGTAAAGGATCAAGTGCCGTCCGTGTTCTCTTGTCCTAAGGCTGGGAGACCAAGCATGGTGGGCACAGATTACCCAGGTGATGGGCCTGCACTGAACCCTGCACTGGGCCAATGTCTGTATGCCTCACTCCAGAACAGACCTTGGAACCTGCCAGGGTTTCGTCCTATGAGGTCAGGACGGTAGTACCCTCCAGAAGGTTATGAAGATGACTTAATGTGTACAAGCAACATGAAGACAGTCCCGTGGGAATCGTCTCGTGTTTTCCTTTCCCAGTGCTCACCTCGGTTCCCCCGCTTTAGGCCCTCACACCTTCACGAGTCTAAAGAAGGCTGAGTGGCAGTCTTAGAAGCTGTGTGCATGGGCCCCACACGGTACTGAAGTTGGTGTGCTTTGCCCCGCTGCCTCCCTTCGCTCATTTGAAGTCTGACTCTTTCTACTAAAACTGTAAGTGACTCAGAACTAGAGTGAGCTGCACACAACAGGAAATTTGGATCTTGAGAGAGAGAGGGGCTGGCGAGATGGCTGATCAGGTAAGAGCATATACTGCACGTGCAGAGGACCCAAGTTCAGTTCCTAGCACCTACATCAGGCAGCTTACAGTCACTGGTAGCTCCAGTTCCAGGGGATCTGACCTCACGCTTCCTGGGGCACCTGCACACGTGGTGCATAGACGTACACAGGCACAGACACATACAACTAACACAAGTCTTTCAAAAAAGAGAGAGGCGGGCAATCTGGGACTGGCTTGATGGCTTCTGATGTCATCAGGGCTACAGATACATGTTGGTGTCACCCTCCTTAGCATGAGGCTTCCATTCTGGGTGTCACTCCTTGGCTCCGAGAGTTCCAGCCATCACCCAGGCTAGGCTGGAAGAAAGGAAGACGGGCTAAAGGAGGGCCAGCTTCTGTTTCTGGGAATCTGCAGCCAGTACCTGGTCACAGGTCCATGGCCACAGACAACACACAGACATGCTCTCGGCAAAGGAGACAGAGAAAGTAACTTGCCAGCTAAACTGACGTTCAGTCCAACTAGAATTCCTACTGCTAAGGAAAAAGGGAGCGAGGTGTGGGAAGCCATCGATGCTGTCACACCTGCAAGACTAAAACCAGCAACAGTGGCCGGGGGTTCTTGGAGAAGGAAGGGTAATGATGGTGTTATGGAAATGCATTAAGAATCCTGACCCAGAGAAGGGCAAAATTAAGCTTCCTGAAACCCTTACTGGGTTCTGTGAGAACTGTCCTATCATGGTGAGGCCTTCCCAGGGTCACACGAGTAGTATTCTCAAGGTTTTACCTTATTGTTGTTGGTTTTTCAAGACAGGGTTGCTCTGAGTAGCCCTGGCTGTCCTGGAACTCTCTGTAGACCAGCCTGGCTTCAAGCTCAGAGGTCCTCCTGCCTCTGCCTCCTGAGTGCTGGGATTAAAGGTGTGTGCCACCACCGCCTGGCTAAGAGTAGTATTCTTAAAGCCCAAACACATCCACAGAAATGCTGATTGACAGGCTCACGCAGTGGGATGAAGGAATCATCGTCAACCTACGGCTCTAGGGTCCCCATTCAAGATGGATCTAGGCATCAGGACAGAGTAAAGGGGAGGACAGGACAAACAGTTCTTCACCCTCCCCACACACATGCACACACACCTTCCATTCTTTAGAACTTAGCCCAGGGCTCTGAGTTGCAGATCAGGGAAATGGAGTCTCAGCCTCCCCACAATGTGTTCAGCTAAAACTCTTACCTAGCACAGGCATAGGCAGGGGAATGTGGTTAATGGGCAGGCAGTATGCATGAGTATGGAGATAGGGCACCTTTGCTCAAATACCTCTTGGGAATGTAATTATATTTCAAGGTTTCTGTTTAAGAAAAAGGAAGAACTCAGACTCTGGGGTGGGTGGTGAGAACTCACCAAGACCCTCCATACCTTTCCAGAGGAAGATACCAATTGGCACACACTGTGGGAACAGCTACCTCCATCCTGCATGAAGCTGCAACAGGAGTCAGGCTGCGTATATGCAGTTAGGTTATTGAAGGCACATTAGTCCCTTTATGTCACCATATCAAAATAGTAGACACAGATGGTTTATTTGGGCTCAGAATTTGGAAGTTTCAAGTCTAAGATGGGCCACTCTGTTGGCTGGTTGGCAGGATCCATGTCCATGTGAGTGCTCACATCTCCAGCTCGGAAGCAGACAGACAAGCTAGGCCTGGGTTCTATACCTCACTTGGGGAAGCACACCTCCAAGTGACTGCAGATCTTCCACAGGCTCCATCACTGCCCAGACACCACCCTGGGGACCAGGCCTTTTACACAGGGCTTCTGGAAAGAATCTGACATTCAACAACAAAGCTTGTGTGACTTGATTTGCTTAGAATCTTGGGCTGAAAGCTCTGCCGTAAGGAATCTCACTTCCCTGAGAGCATCTCACTGGAGAGGCCAGATGGGGTGGTTGGCGGCGGGCAGCAGCATTTGCTGCTTCTGTGAGCGAGCCATCCTTGATACCCAGTCCTGTGGAGCCTTGGGAAACCCCAAGCCTAGGCTGACATCTAACTACAACTTGGTGTGAAGTGGCAATTAGCTGGCCAAGCCCTTCCTCAATTTCTACCCCCGAGTAGCAAAATAAATGATTATTTTTAGTTGCTAAGTTTGAAAGTAGTTGATCAGTGAAACCAGTTACTGGTTGGAATTCTCCTTGGCTGTTGGGTTCTGTCCTTGAAATGGAGAAGTCTTTGCAACCAGAATGGAATGCTTAAACAAATATTCTGAGGATAAGAATTGCCAAACATTTACTCATTACTACCCAAGGGTGAGTATGGTGTCTGTTCTATTACTAAGGTAGAAATTATCTTTGAATTAAAGGATATGGATATTATTTTATTCACCCCCAACTTTTTTCAATTTTGCATTTGAAGTATTTTTCAAGTTTTTATTAGGAAAATTTAAGCCCATAGGGAAATTGAAAGATTAATGCCAAGAAGACACACAATTCTTCTATGGAGATAATATAAAAATTAATATTTTGTCACATGCCATCTACATGCACATTATACATACACCCTTTTATCTTTCCCATCAAATAGGTTATAGGGCAAATCTTTTAAAAATAACTTTTAAAATTAATTAAGTTCCATATGGCACCATGGGTTTCTCTGGTGTTTTCATACATGTATGCCATGATACTTAGTTCTTATTCATCCCTCTTCTCTGCTTCCCTCCCCCATCCTGTCTGCCCCCTGCTTCTAAGCAGTTTTCTCTTCCACTTTCAGGGCCTCTTATTCCAGCGGTTCTCAACCTCTGGGGGTCAAACAGCCCTCTCACAGGGGTCACATATCAGATACCCTGCATATCAGATATTTACATTACAATTCATAACAGCAGCAAAATTAGTTATGAAGTCGCAACGAAATGATCTTATGATTGGGGATCATCAAACATGAGGAACTGTATTTAAGGGTCGCAGCAGTGGGAAGGCTGAGAACCACTTCCTTACTCTGGTACTCTCACTTCCCTCCCCAGAAGGTCTATTCCTCTTTTCTTAGGTCATGATCCCCTTTCTACTTCCAAAATACATACGTACGCACGCACGCACGCCAATCAGTGTTCCGGATATGAGAGGAAACATGGTATTTGTCTCTCCGCGTCTGGCTCATTTTGTGTCTCGTAACCATCTGCAGCTGTTGACTCCACTCCAAGTGTCATGATTTAACTTCTTTCTTACAGCTGATAAAACTGCATCGTTTGTGCACACCGCCTTTCCTTTGTGCGTTCATCTGTTTGATGGGCGTCTAGTGTGGATATCGCAGCAGCAAACATGGATGTGCGAACACCTCGGAGGGATGCAGACACAGAATCCTTCAGTTACGCATCCAGGAGCGACACAGCTGGGTCATATTCTTCTTCTACTTTCAATATTTTGAGTAACATCTTTACTGACCTCTAGAATGGCCCCAGCTCACACTTCCACAAGCACCATACAAGGGGTCCCGTCTTCCTACCCTCACCCCACCCCACCCCCGCATTTCTTTTCCTGGTGAGAGCCCTTTTGACTGGGTGAGATAAGCTATCAAAGCAGTTTTACGTTGCATTTCCTGCTGGCTAAGGATGTTGAGATTTCAAACATTTTGAAGTATTTTCTGGTCATTTGAGTCGTCTTTGGAGTACTATCTATTCAGATCATCACCCCATTTATTGATTGGATGATGGTGGGGTGTTAATTTTCATCACTTATTTACAAATATTTTTAGAAATCTGTAAGTAATGTGTTAATTGTTCTGCCATTGTAAAAATGTAGAAAATTAGAAAGAAATAAAAGTCGTTAATAATTTCACTTCCTAGATTAATTTTTAATCAAGGTATACTAAGCAAGTGTGTGATCAGACGTTGGTCTTCATTAGGCAGGAGCGCCCTCTAGTGGTAACTGGGAAAATTGCATTATATGGGAATTTTTCTTCTCAAGGTCTCTTGGTTGTATTGACTTGATTAGACTCCTGAGTTTCTGAAACTGATGAAGATCCTGTTGACCCACACCCGGGGCTTCCATCCATTATAACAGCTGCCTGTCTCTGCTCCTGACCTGGCAGCTCTACACTTCAGTCAGATGGCCCACACATTGAAGTCAGTGCCATTCTTCCCCAGTGAGCGGATGTCTCTGGTTTTCCTAGGTTCTTTCCTTCTCTGTCAGTTTGTCCTTCCTGCCCCTTCCTGCACTTACATCGTGTCTTATGTACACGTCATACCTTCTAGGACTTCTGATACAATTTGCTCTCGATAGTTTTCAACCTATCCACTTTGGTCTCTTTGCAAATTAGCACACCCAAGCGCCTGCATTTAGATAATGAAGTCTCTATAATACTTTTAAAATGTGATGTGTCTTTTCCTCACAAACTTAAAAGCAATAAAAAGACCCTACTCACATCACTTAGAAACTGTTGTTTGCAAAGACACAGGCAGGAAGCTGCACACTTTCTGCAAGCAGTATTCTCAACCCCTCCCCAGGCAGTCCAGAGAGCACTGAACCACACCTCACACACCACACAGTGAGTCCATTTGTCATGTGCCTCCATCCTTGGTATACATGAATAAGAACAATTCTTCCTCTCAGGATAAACGAATAAAGTCATTGTCGTTGTGACAAATCTGTCAGGAAGAGGTAGGGGGTTATTTGTCCCTGTGGCAAGCGTGTGATGAGTCAGAATGAAGAGAACAGGCATCTGGACGTTTAGGAAAGTGTCAGTCCAGGGTGGGCTGGAGTGCAGTGTCAAGAACTGGGTGGACTTCAGGGTTTGGGGCCAATGATTGTGTTGCCTTGCCTTAGCCAGCTGCTTCTCAAGAGCCTCGTGCTGTGAAAGGTGGAATGTTTTCACGCCCCCTTCTCATTTGGGACATCCGGAACACCATGATGTGACTGGCTTGTGAAATAAGATTACTTCTGACTAAAATGTAACAGTGTCAGCTAGGGGGAGGATGAGATGGTGGATGGTGTTGAGTAAAAATGCAGCGATTCGTTCAATGGATTATGTTAGAAATTTTATTTGTGAGATGGGGGTAGATTCTTATCTGCCATATTTATAGTTTTCTCACGTCAACCTATAGTAAATGGGTTAATGCTTTGAAGACATTTTTTTTCCCAAACACATAGCAACAAAGTATAAATAAAAAAGGAGACAGACATATCTTTGGTGAAGTATTTTTTAGAAAGTATCCAGAACAACACACAAGAGAATGGCAGCTGGGACTTGCTCCTCATGTCCAGGAGACAGTGGACTAGCATCTTCAAAAGGTTCAGAAAATTAGTCAACCTTCCTAAATTTTATATTTGGCCAAAATTGTATGTGTTAGTAAAGATAAATTCATAACTCAGTTTCACATGCATAATATCTAAGGGGCTTTGTTCTCATAGATTCTCAATAAAAGAAACAGTACAGGTTAGAAGGGCCACAATACATGAAGTATACCTTTTACACAAGTACACACAATACCTTTTTCAGAAAGAAGGGGCTGGACTTTAAGAACAACAGCAAACATAGTTACTAGTCAGTAGGGAAATTTTCTTAGCAAGTGCATGTAAAACTCCCCATTGCTTTGTTTAATGTGGTGTGTGAAGCTACACTCCCAATAAGAATAAATGAGACTGGGAAACAGGTATTTGAATAAATAGAGTGCATTGAAATCCTATTGGGATGATAATAGTAATGATAATGGTTAGAAATATATATGCTGGGCATCTCTAATCTCAAAATTCAAAGTCCAAGCTCTCCAAAGTCTAAGCCTTTTTCTTTAGAATCTAGGCCGGGCTGGAACTCACTGTGTGACACAAATTGGCCTGGAATTCAGGGTCCTCCTGCCTCTGCCTCCCAAATGCTAGGCTTACAGACGGATCTGTGCTACTAGCTCAAAAACATTCTTACTGTTACCATGACACCACAAAAGGGGCATTCCACATCTGACCTCATATGGACGGTCATAGTCAAAACATAGGTACATCAAACATATAATATATATTCATCTATACATACATACATATATGCCTTCAGTGTACATATGTACAGGGCATACATGAACTAGTAGACTTGGGTCCCATCCAGAGTAGGGGGGGAGAGAGAGAGAGAGAGAGAGAGAGAGAGAGAGAGAGAGAGAGAGAGAGAGAGATTCAGAAACATGTGTTGTTCCAAGCATAAACATTGTGGGTAATATTAGGCATTGCCTGTGGTTTGGACTGTGGTGCTCCTCACTCGGATTTCCTGTGGCCTTCTCAGAGCAGGTTGTGGGTGGACACTTAGAAGTTCCTTGGGCTCTCCAGGAAAGGAGGACAACAATAGGTCAGGGTGCCAGCAGGAGGGCAAGCTTTGAGAACCAGTTGGACAGGATGGCATCCCAAGTGGCTTGAAGGACGACTTGGGACTTTTTCCTGAAGATGTCCTTACCACCATCTGTAGTCCGACCAAGTTGACCATATCTTGTCCTGCCTCCATGCTGACCCAGCCCTAGGTCCCTACATCTGATTTGCTTTTCTGGTCTCTTCAGCACCTCATAGCCACACATGTCCTGGCCATTTCTTTATAGGTTGGCATGTAGATAGCAACTGAAGGGTTCAAAAAAAGTGTGGTGATATTTCATTTGTGCATCCCAATAAAGTTTATCTGAGGATCAGAGGAAAAAGCCAGCCACTATATTAAACACAGAAGTCAGGCAATGGTACCACACACCTTTAATCCTATCACTCAGGAGGCAGGGATCTGTCTGGATCTCTGTGAGTTCAAGGCCACACTAGGAACAGAGCCAAGCGTGGTGGCACATGCCTTAAATGCCAACACTAGTTAACCATGAAAGTCTGGAGGTCTGTATAGACAGACAGGAAGTGACAAAGCTGGGCAGGAAGAGGAAGTGATGTAGCTGAACAGAGAGCAAATGAGATAGCAGAACAGAAAGGCATATAGGCATGGGTATGCAGGAAGTAGGTCTCTGGAGACTGAGGTGAGGTGAGGTTAGCTTGTGACTTTTCCTATTCCTCTGATCTCTCAGGTTTTCACCCCTATATCTGGCTCCAGGTTTTTATTTAATAAGACCATTTAGCAATTCATCTCCAAAACAACAACAATAAAAACCCCACATCTGTTAAAGAGGGCCACAGCTGTCCAGGCTTTTGAGCTTCTGGATCCTTTGCTGTGAGTCAGTCTGTACTCACGGACTATCTAGCTGTCAGCATCTCTGAAGAGGTGTGGTTTGGTCTCCAGTGGGAACGGCTGCAATCTGGTGTTCCCTTTGAGAGGGCCATCTGCGTGTCTAGTCTCAGTTTACACTGGAATGCTCCAATAGCCTCTCGACACCCTTCACTAGTTTATCCCATCCTTTGTATTCATTCTTCCCCCAATCCCATTGTCAGCTCAGGAGTAGGCTTTCCCAGAGAAGGAAAGCATGTCTCCGTTGTTGGAAGCACAGGCTGCTCCACTGTGGCCCAGGGGGTCAATGTACCGGCTGAATTTACCTGGAAACAAGTTCAGCCTTCCACCCTCCATCACCACAGAGTGTACAAATTGATCAAGGTGGAGGTTGAAAACCACATTGATGGAATCCCATCATTCAGGTGGTCTGTGGCCCCTTAGGAGAGCAAGAAGGCAATTCAAGATAAGATAACATTAGCTTTTAACCACAGAGTCGTGGATCCCTGGAAGCTTTACTTTACTAGCAGGCTTACACTGAATCCTAGAGGTCAAGGTATCCGGCTGCCTTTTTTTTTTTTTTTTTTTTTTTAAACCATGATAACAGGAGGTTTTGGTACCTTCACAGTCTCAGCAGGAGCAACCCTCCCCCATCCCACATTGTTTTCCTAATAGTGAAATGTATGCACGTTAGAAACAATTTGGTAAAGATTTTAAAAAGGCCACCCATACTCCCAGCCCTCTAGTCACTGTTAACGTTTTTGGCTTTCACTACTTCTCTGCAAAAATTTAAAGACAGTTATCATGGGGGCTAGAGAGATGGCTCAGTGGTTAAGAGCATGTGCTGATCTTGCAGAGGACCAAGTTCCCTTTCCAGCACCATGCTGGGTGACTCATGACTGCCTGCAACTCCATTTCCAGGGGATCCGACGCCCTCTTCTGGACCCCCTGGGTAATTACATGCACATACCCACGCACAGACACATACACACATAATCAAAATTGAAATCTTAAATGAATACAGTTATCATTACTGCATAGTGAATTATATGTCTTTTTTTTCTAATGAGAAAAGTCCTTTATGGATGACACATGCGTTATACAGGAACAAAGACACACTACACAGGGAGGTGGGGGTGGGGTGCGTGGGGGGAATGCTCAGCCAGGACAGCTGCCATAGGAACAAGATTAGAACTGTTCGAAGCAGCATCGAACACGAAATCATTTTTACAAGTGTAAGTCAGAACCTCATACAAAAGGAAGACGGGGAGAAGCCACTCATGAAGTAAAAAAAAAAAAAAATCTATCTACACAGATACGAACACCCATATTTTCTCAGTGCTTCTCCCCCCACCCCTTTTCTCCACAAGGAACAAATCAGACAAACGAAAAGTTCATTTCTCTAGGGTCGCTCTATTTACTGCAGGTTAGGGAGAGGGGCCTCACGTGGGCTTGGATTCAAGGAAGCTGATTCAGTGCTGAGGAGTTAGTGTGGGAATGCTCAGGGACGTAGGCATGAATACTAAGGAGAGGAGCCAGGAGGTGGTGGCGCACACCTTTAATCCCAGCACTCGGGAGGCAGAGGCAGGCGGATCTTTGTGAGTTCGAGGCCAGCCTGGACTACAGAGGGAGTTCCAGGAAAGGCGCAAAACTACACAAAGAAACCCTG